CCCGTTTCCCCTGAGCCCTCACAGCCTCCTCTTCACTTTCTCCTGTTGGGTCCCAGGAACCCAGGACCCAGGACCCAGAACCCAGGAACACAGGTTGACAGCCTTATATCTCTCTCCTTGAGTTCCTATTCCAGTGAGATTATGTTCTCTTCCATTTCCTCGAGCTCATGGAGAAATATTCATGCACATTTTCTTTTACTTCCGATGGATGTTCTTCATCTGCCTTTATTGGTTGTTACTGTTCTCTGGGAGGAGAAATATCCAGTTACGGAGGACAGCCCTCGGGATTAGCTACTCGCTAAGGGCTGTGCAGGGGAGGAGGGTGGAGGGAAGACACAGCTCTACCTCGAGGTCATTTGGGAGCACTTTCTCGTGACTCCGTGTCTTCTGAGCAGGGTCTGCTCACCAACTCCATGAGCATTCACGGCCCCGCGGTGTGGGGGGTCCGGGCTGTGGCAGCGCCTCACACAGCCCATTGCCAGGAGAATTCCTTCTGCGCCCCTTGGATCCCAGGCTTCCTCCCAGCCGGGCTCCCCTGGAAGGCCAGGTGTGGGCACAGCGGGGGCACTTTAAGGGCCTTTCATGAAAAACCTTGGGAGGTCCCACGTGCTTGTTGGTGTCATGTTTCAGTCTGAGCCCAAATTGACTGATCTAGCCGCTATCCTTTGTAAATTCTTTTGCATGTATTTTCAATAAAAATGATATTTTCTTCTCAAAAAAAAAAAGAAAGAAAAAGAATTACTGATTTGAGATATCTTATTTTTGAAATATAGGCTTTTTCAGCTATAAATTTTCTTGTAAGCATTGATTTAGCTTAATTCCATAAGTTTTGGTATGTTGTATTTTTGTTTCCATTCATATCTGAGTATTTCCTAATATTCCTGATTTCTTCTTTACCCATTGATTATTTAGGAGAGTGCTGTTTAATATCCATATATTTGTGAATTTTATGAATTTCCTTCTGATAGTTCTAATTTTGCTCCATTATGTTTGTAGACCATATTATATTCCGGAGGCCCAGTGCATGAAATTTGTGACTGGTAGGGTCCCTAGCGGCTGCTGGCCTAGTCCCTCCCGTCCCCCGGCTGGCCCGCCCCCTGGTCAAACTCACAGACATCTCCCGGTCAAGGGGACAGTCTGCATACTACACTTTTATTATATAGGATAATTTCTTTTAAAAAAATATATTTTTATTGATTTCAGAGAGGAAGGGAGAGGGAGAAATAGAAACATCAGTGATGAGAGAGAATCATTGATCTGCTGCCTCTTGCACACCCCACACTGGGGATTTGAGCCTGCAGCCAGGGCATGTGCTCTGACTGGGAATTGAATCATGACCTCCTGGGTTCATAGGTCAATGCTCATCCACTGAGCCATGCCGGCCGGGCTATATATAATTTTAAATTTACTATTGTATAACCTCAAATGCCTTTTATTCAAAACATTCCTATGTCCTTTATTCAAGTTTTGAAGTTTTCTCCACAGAGGTCTTACTTTTCATAGTTAATTCTAGATACTTTATATTATTAATGGTGAGATACTTATTTTATATCTAGAGGCCCGGTGCACAAAATTCATGCATGGTGGGGGGTGTCCCTCAGCCCTGCCTGCACCCTCTCCAATCTGGGACCCCTCGAAAGATGTCCGACTGCAGGGATGGGGCCTAAACCGGCAGTCGGACATCCCTCTCGCAATCCAGGACCACTGGCTCCTAACCACTCACCTGCCTGCCTGCCTAATGCCCCCAACTGCCCCCCACTGCTGGCCTGATCACCCCCAACTGCCCTCCCCTGCCAGCCTGATTTCACCCCTAACTGCCTCTGCCTTGGCCCTTACCACCATGGCTTTGTCTAGAAGGAAGTCAGATGTCCGTAAGATGGCCAGTTGACCCAGTCTAATTAGCATATTACTCTTTTATTAGTATAGATTTTTTTAATGACTGGTTTTGAGGAGAAATGCTATTAATTTTGTAGGTTGATCATGTAGCTGGAAATCTGCTTAGTTGTCAGTCTAAAAGTTTGCTGATTTTCAGTGTTCCTAGGTGATCATCTCATCTTAAAAAATCTGTCTTAGCTCTCCCTATGCCAGTTTTTACATTTCTTACTATATATGGACTCATACTTTATTAAAACTAATCGTGATGGTTATTTGCCCTTAAATTTTGGTCAAAACTACCCTCTAGATTAGAAAACACCACACGTAAAGATTGGAAATAAAATATTAGTTTATAATCTGCTCCCATAAAAGGGCTGCTGATTCTATTTTATTTATTTATTTGCTGATGACTCTCTTTTTTTTTTTAATGTTTTTTTTTTTTAATTGATTTTTTACAGAGAGGAAGGGAGAGAGATAGAGAGTTAGAAACATCGATGAGAGAGAAACATCCATCAGCCGCCTCCTGCACACCCCCTACTGGGGATGTGCCCGCAACCCAGGTATATGCCCTTGACTGGAATCGAACCTGGGACCTTTCAGTCTGCAGGCCGACGCTCTATCCACTGAGCCAAACCGGTTTCGGCTGATGACTCTCTTTTAGAAGTCCAAGATAGTTTTGGGAAGAGGAGTGTTTAGGGCCTAACTGGCCATCTAAGGGACTAGGAAGGCCTCTTTTTCAGGCAGAGTTGTGGAGTTGATTGTGTAGTACTGAGCTATACTTGGAAAAACTAGTTGTTTAAAAATATATATTTTTTGTTGATACCTAGAGCAGAAGGAAGGGAGAGGGAGAGAGAAACATCAATGTGAGAATGGAACATCGACTGGCTGCCTCCTGCATCCCCCAATCCTCTAGGGAACTAGCCACAAGTGGGGCCAGGAATCAAACCGGCGACCTCTTGGTGGCATGAGACAACACTCAACCAACTGAGCCTTGCTGACCAAAGTGAAAAAAAACTAATTTCTAAAAAATTTAAATTCTTTACTGTTGAAAGTATTACATATGTTTCCTTTTTTCCCCTATTGTCCTCTACCCAGCCGTTCCTACTCCCCAGTACATGCCCTCACCCCCTACTGTCTGTGTCCATTGGTTATGTTTACATGCATGCATGCAGTCCTTTGGTTGATCTCTTACCCACCCCTTCCTATCCTCCCCTGCCTTCCCTCTGAGATTTGAGGGTCTGTTTGATGTTTCTATGTCTCTGGATCTATTTTTGTTCATCAGTTTATGTTGTTCATTATATTACACAAATGAGTAAGATCATGGGATATTTATCCTTCTCTGACTGGCTTATTTTGCTTGGCATAATGCCCTCCAGGTCCATCTATGCTATTGCGAATGGTAAGAGTTGTTTCTTTTTTTACAGCAGTGTAGTATTCCATTGTGTAGATGTACCACTGTTTTGTAATCCACTCATCTGCTGATGGGCACCTAGGCTGTTTCCAAATCTTAGCTATTGTAAATTGTGCTGCTATGACCATAGGGGTGCATATATTCTGATCGGTGTTTTGGGTTTTCTAGGATATATTCCTAGAAGTGGGATCACTGGGTCAAATGGGAGCTCCATTTTTAATTTTTTGAGGAAACTCCATACTGTTTTCCACAGTGGCTGCACCAGTCTGCATTCCCACCAGCAGTGCATGAGGGTTCTTTTTTCTCCACATCCTCTCCAGCACTTGTCGTTTGTTGATTTGTTGATGATAGCCATTCTGACAAGTGTGAGATGGTACCTCATTGTTGTTTTGATTTGCATCTCTCAGATGATTAGTGACTTTGAGCATGTTTTCATATGTCTTTTGGCTTTCTGAATGTCCTCTTTTGAGAAATGTCTATGTAGGTCTTTTGCCCATTTTTTTACTGGATTGTTTATCTTCTTTTTTTAAAAATATATTTTATTGATTTTTCACAGAGAGGAAAGGAGAGGGATAGAGAGTTAGAAACATCGATGAGAGAGAAATATTGATCAGCTGCCTCCTGCACACCTCCCACTGGGGATGTGCCCACAACCAAGGTACATGCCCTTGTCCAGAATCGAACCTGGGACCTTTCAGTCCGCAGGCTGACGCTCTATCTACTGAGCCAAACCGGTTAGGGCAGTTTACCTTCTTTTTGTTAATTTGTATGAGTTTCCTATAAATTTTAGAGCCTAAACCCTTATTAGATGTCATATTGACAAATATATTCTTCCATGCAGTGGGCTTTCTTGTTATTTTGTTGATAGTTTCTTTTGCTGTGCAGAAGCTTTTTATTTTCTCCTTAGTTTCCATTGTCCTAAGAGATGTGTCGGTAAACATATTGCTATGAGGCATGTAGTATTGGAAGTGCTTGCTAGCCATAGTGATCAAATAAGAAATAAAAGGTATCCAAATTGGAAAAGAAGTAAAACTGTCATTATTCACAGATGACATTTTGTACATAAAAAACCCTAAAAACTCCATCAAAAAACTACTAGATTTAATAAATAAATTCGGCAACATAGCAGGATAAAAAATTAACACCCAGGATTCTACAGCATTTCTATACACCAACTAGTGGCCTAGTGCATGAAATTCGTGCACATTAAAAGGGGATTAATTAGAGGAAATTTTTTTTTTTCCAGGCGGGAGCCCAGCGCTCCAGCAGATCCATTTTATTTGGACGGAAGGCAACCATAGGCGCTAATTCTAGGTCATGGTTCAACCAACCGCCCCTATTCTAAAAGGCGGAATCCACATCTTCCGTGGGATTTCCACCTGGGCTTCCAAGTGGGATGACTTTTAAGGAGCGGGTTTACAGTTGCCCGCGAAAGCCCAAGCACGCCCAAGCATTCACGTGCAGGCCAGGCCGTCGGTGGGACCGGGGAGGGAGCGGGGCAGGGGGCCAGAAGGGGAGCGAAGGAGCCCTGAGACGCAGAGAGGGCCTCCCGGGGCTGACAGCCCGGCGGTGCCGGGAGAGGCGGCCGACCAACCGGCCGGCCCCGCGCCAGCAAAGAAGTGCCGAGCCCCGCGCGCAGGCACCCCGCCGGGCTGGGACCCGCGCCGAGGGGCCGCGGGGCAAAGGGGCCAAGGGACAGCGGGGCTGCGCTCACCTAGAAAGAGGCAAAAGAGGTCGAGGCAGATGAGCAGCGCCCGCTTGCTGCCGCCCTTCCTCGGGTTGTTGTTGAGCGCCGGGCTGCCGCCGTTCTTGCTCTCCGGGACGATCGCCTTGTCATACTTGTAGTTTTGCATGGCGCTGGCTGCCCCGCGAAGACGCCCCGCAATAGCGGACACACACGCAGACGCGGGGCTCGCTTCCTGGCCGAGGCAGCTCAGGAGAGTGGCGGGTCGGCCCGGGTTTGGGGAGCGGAGGGAGCCGAGAGTGCGGCTTCGCTGCCTGCTTTCAACACAGACGGTGGTGTTTTCTGCTCCCCTTGGGTGCCTCTGCTTTCTTCCTCTCTCAACCCCAAATCGTTGGAAAGTCCAAGAGGAAGAGAGCCAAATCCCGAGCAGAAAGTTGTACAGAGCTGCGCGGCTCGGGGCGCGCTGGGCTGGCGTGTGCCTGGGAGAGCGAGCGAGCGAGTGGGCAGCCCGGGCGCTCGGCCACCTTCCTCCGCAGCTGGCGACTTAATGAATGGGAGCTTCGCTGGGCCCGGCCACTCCGCAGCGCCAGCCCAGCTCCAACTTTTCCTCCTCCTGCTGCTGCCGCCGCCGCGGCTGCTGTTGTGATCGCCTTGGGTTTGTTTTCTGCACTTTTATTTCACGAGGTCCTTTAAAAAGAGAGAGAGGGAACGAGAGGGACCTCCTCACTTGGCTCTGAAGGGATTCAGCAAGCACAGCCCCTTCCTTAAGCTGCCTAAGACATAGGATAATTAAGGCCACATTTCCCCCACCCCCTTCAAAAAAAAAAAATCCTAAATGGAAAAGTTACTCTCAAACTAGAGAATCAGGGAGCCCCTAGCGTTCAGAAACATCAGGTTGTCACAAACGGAAAAAAAAAAAAATATATATATATATATATATATATATATATATATATATATATATAATATATATATATATATATATATATATATATATAAATTAAAAAGAAACATTTTCTTGCTGGCCTTGGATCAGGCAAAAGTGAAGGCTGTACAGCTAAAATGCACTTCTCACAAGTTTGGGGCTTTCAAGTCTTTTTTTTATCCCCAAGTTTTTATTTTTATTTGAATCGCATTTTTCTGTAAATAGTCAAGGAAAACTGTGTCTTTTTCTGAAGATCTTAACACCCAGCACGGATTCCTGTACTAGATTCTGAGGATAGTAACATGAAAAAGACTACAGGACTCCGGAGCTAGACTCAGTGGGTTTGAATCCTGGCTGTGGCTCTGTGCCTCAGTTTCCCCACATGTAAACTGGAGATAACTCTCCCATATAGTGTAATTGTGGAGATTTAATTAATCTACCTAGAAAAGTGCCAGGGGTATAGGAAGTGCTCTATATATGGATTCCATGAGTTTTACCCCTCTTTCTGGGGTGAAGGAGTCTCAAGCCTCTAGCCCCCGTGCCAGGGGTGCCTGTACCACAGCGGGGTGGGGAGAAGCCAGGCCAGCAGGAGTACTTACTCCCTGGAGATGCTATCTTTAGCTTGCATTTGGGGGCAATCTAAGGCTTTGCCTTAGATTGTCATTATTTTTAAATTATTTTATGTGACTTAATCACTTCCAGATAAACATTCACAAGGAAAGGGCCTTCCCTTATATTTTCTATAGTGCCTAGCAGAGAGTTAAGTACACAGTAGACAATAAATGAACATTTCTCCCAAATGTCTCTTTTTATACATCCTGTAGCTTTTTAATACTTGATATGGGGTTTCATAACCCTATCAGCCACTTGCCCTTTCTTTCTTTCTCTCACTCTCTCTTTTTTAATTGCTTTTTTATTTTTACTAAATCTTTATTGTTCAGATTATTACATTGGTTCCTCTTTTTTAACTCCCCTCCACCCAGTTCCCACCCCTCCCTCCGCCCTCACACCCCACCCACTGTCCTCATCCATAGGTGCACGATTATTGTCTAGTCTCTTCCCGCACCCCCCACATCCCTTTCCCCCCAACCCCAAAGAATAGTCAGTCCATTCCCTTTCTATGTCCCTGATTCTATTACAATCACCAGTTCATACTGTTCATCAGATTATTTATTCACTTGATTTTTAGATTCACTTGTTGATAGATGTGTATTTGTTGTTCATAATTTGTATCTTTACCTTTTTCTTCTTCCTCCTCTTCTTAAAGGATACCTTTCAGCATTTCATATAATACTGGTTTGGTGGCGATGAACTCCTTTAGATTTTTCTTATCTGTGAAGCTCTTTATCTGGCCTTCACTTCTGAATGATAGCTTTGCTGGATAAAGTAGTCTTGGTTGTAGGTTCTTGGTATTCATCACTTGGAATATTTCTTGCCACTCCCTTCTGGCCTGCAAAGTTTCTGTTGAGAAATCAGCTGACAGTCGTATGGGTACTCCCTTGTAGGTAACTGACTTTCTTTCTCTTGCTGCTTTTAGGGTACTCTCTTTGTCTTTTGCTCTTGGCATTTTAATTATGATGTGTCTTGGTGTGGTCCTCTTTGGATTCCTTTTGTTTGGGGTTCTCTGCGCTTCCTGGACTTGGAAGTCTATTTCTTTCACCAGGTAGGGGAAATTTTCTGTCATTATTTCTTCAAATAGGTTTTCAATATCTTGCTCTCTCTCATCTTCTGGCACCCCTATAATTCTGATGTTGGTACGCTTGAAGCTGTCCCAGAGGCTCCTTACACTATCTTCATATTTTTGGATCCTTTTTTCATTTTGCTTTTCTGGTTGGGTGTTTTTTGCTTCTTCACATTTCAAATCATTGACTTGATTCTTGCGATCCTCTGGTCTGCTGTTGAGAGTCTGTATAATATTCTTTCAGTCAGTGTATGCTTAATTTCTAGTTGGTCCTTTATCATAACATCAAGGGTCTCACTAGATTTCTTGAGGATCTCACTACATTTATCGGCAGTCTCACCAGTCTTTTTGAGGGCCTTACTAAATTTATCGGCGGCTTCTAGACAGTTCTTTAAAGACCTTAAAAGTGTGGTTTTGAGCTCTATATGTAGCAGGTTGCTTTCCTCCATTTCTGTCATTTGTGTCCTGTTTCTTTGTCTCAGCATTTTTTATGCTTTGCTGTGTTGATAGAGTGACTTTCTGTGCTAAGTGTCCCAATTACCTGAGGTGGACACTCTTGGTGCACCCCCTTGTAGGCTTTGTGCAGTTTTGTTGTAATTAAGCCTTGATTGTTGTAGTTATCACTAGGAGGAATTGACCTCCAGGCCAATTGGCTGTGAGAATCAGCTGTGTCTGCAGTGGGAGAACTTCTGTGCTGGAGACACCCTTATGGGGCAAGACTTGCTTCAATGGGGCTTTGGTGCTCACTGAGCCTGCCCCCTGAGTGTGTCCTTTATGGTTCCATGGAGTTGCAAACTGGATGGTCCCACTCTGACCTCTGAGCTTCCTGGCTCCTGGATCTCTAGGGAGGTGCTAATCTAGCCTTTGCCTGAGGCTATCCAGCAAAAGCCTCCCTGCAGGGCTTGGGCGGGGCAGGTCCCACAGATCAACAGGGTGGGGCTAGCAGTTATGGCTGCTCTCAGTCTTGCCCTCAGAGGCTCTGCTTCTCAGTGTCCCAGTAATCTCTGCAAGCCCCTCAGAGAGAAAGCTGCCCTCGAGTTCCGACCGATGCCAGATAGTCCCGCTTCTCCCGTATGAGTCTGGGTCCCTAGAGACTCGCCCGGAACTGGAGCTCAGAGCCTGAGACTCCCTCCTGATTGAAAACGACAACCGCGCCTTCAGCCGCCAGCCCGCTCCGCATGCACCTCTGCACCTTAGTATTTTACTTCCGTACTGTGCCTCCTCTGGGTCTTGGTATGCTTTTCTCTTTCCTTCTAGTTGTAGAATTTCCACTCAGCCAGCCTTCCTGTGGTTCCTGATGATGTCTGTTCCGTCTTTTAGTTGTATTTTTGAAGTGGTTGTTCAAGACAGCAAACTCTGGTGTTTACCTATGCCGCCATCTTGGTTTTTCCTTTTTAGAGGAAATATTTGAATAATGCTATTTTCCCTTTCTCTATAACAGAAGTGTCAGATGAAAGAAAATTAGATGAAAGAAAATTAGTAAAATGTATATGAAAATCTTCCTCCTATCAGAGTCTGGGGCATGCCATGGGACTGAGTCAAGTCCCTGCCCACCCACGTGTACCTCAAAATTGTGTGAGACCCAGACCCTGCCACCCCACCCCCCCATTGGACTAGATCCAGACTCGGCCAGTGCCACCCTTGTCAAGCCCTTCTGGGCAGGGGGAGTAGCTTAAGGTGCCCCGTCAAGCCCTGCTGGGTGGGAGCTGTGGCCTGAGGTCCCCCATCAAGCCCTGCTGGTTAGGGGGGCACAGCCTGAGATCCCCCGGCCTGGCGCTGGGGTGGGGGGGTGCACCTTGAAGTCCCACATCAAGCCTCACTGGGCAGGGGGTGTGGCCTGAGTTCCCCCATCAAGCCCCACAGGGGCGGAGGGGGGTGCAGCCTCAGGTCCCTGCTGATTGCTTGTTAAGGCTGGTTATGGGAACTTGGCCTCCGCTGTGGGTGCAGCCATCTTATGTTATGGAACCCCCCCGCCCCCACCCTCCACCTCCGCTGTGGGCACCGCCATCTTGGGTTATGGAAACCCCCCCACCACACCCCCCACTTCCACTGTGGGCGCCACCATCTTTGTGGCAGAGTGATGGTCAATTTTCACATTCCCTCTTTATTATATAGGATAATGAACTCACAGAAAGAGATACTAAAAGAACAATCCCATTTACTATTGCAACAACAAAAAATTAAGATACCTAAGAATAAACTTAACCCTACCAGACCGCTGTACCGATTTTTTGGTAATTTCCACACAAAGGTGGAATATTGGCACTAGATGAAAGGTAGACCTATTTTCTACAATGTCTCCAAGTTCCATCTTATTCTAACCACTTGTTTGCATGTAACTAACATTTTTCTGTATCATGTTGGTTTTTTCTCTTTAATGCTCAGGAGCCCAGGTATAGGGGACAGTTAGGTTCAGGGCCTCAGGTCTGGTAGGATTAATTAAGGAGGTAAAAGACCTGTACTCAGAAAACTACAGGACATTGAAAAAAGAGATAAAGGAAGATATAAATAAGTGGAAGAATATACTGTGTTCATGGATTGGTAGAATCAACATCATTAAAATGTCCATACTACCCAAAGCAATCAATAGATTCAATATAATCTCCATTAAAATACCAATGGCATATTTCACAGACCTAGAACAAACTCTCCAAAAATTCATATGGAATTAAAAAAAACAAAAAAACAAATAGCTATAGCAATCCTGAGAAAGAAGAACAAAGTTGGAGGGATCACAATACCAGATATCAAGCTATATTACAAAGCCACTGTTCTCAAAACGGGCTAGAACTGGCACAAGAACAGACTTATAGATCAATAGAACAGAACAGAACAGAACACAGAAACCAACCCAAACCATTATGCTCAATTAATATTTGACAAAGAAGGCAAAAACATACAATGGAGTCAAGACAGTCTCTTCAATAAATGGTGTTGGGGAAATTGGACAGATACATGCAAAAAAAAAAATGAAAAAGAAAAGAAAAGAAAAAGAAGCTAGACCACCAACTTACACCATACACAAAAGTATACTCAAATGGATAAAGGATTTAAACATAGGATGGGA